TGGTGTTTGCTGTTCGAATCCATCCGTGGTTCCAAATTTTGTCACCATAGCATTCTACAAGATTTACTCCATTCGAAACTTGAAAAATTGTCAGCACTTGTCAGCAGCAGCTCCTGTTTGTCATTCAAGAGACATCCGCGTCGGTGTTGGCAAAAGCAATCACATGAAGTCTTAATTTCATTTTACGTTATCTGGCTTCAGAGCCCCTAGCTTCCTGGAAGTCATCTCTCACACAACACCTACAACGGTTTTTAAGCCCTTTATGTTACCACTCCACTAAATTTCTTTCCTCGCATTTTTAGCTGATTGCAGATGTGAAGCTTACTGCTTTAGGGCATACACCCCTCTTAATCATTATGTTCAGCAGCATCTTTGCTTTCTCAGTCTGATAAATCTCACACAATAATTTCCCCATCTGATTGCATAGGTACATATCAGAATGAAATCCTTTCCTCTCCATCTCAATTCGCAACTCAAAAGCTTCACCAACCATCCCATTCTGACAAAATCTATCAATCAACATATCATACATAACCTTGTCCAACTCAAATCCCTTCTTTTGCATCTCATTTACAAACTTCATTGCCATTTCCATTTCTCCAACCTTTGAATGCCCATTTATTAACAGCCAATATGTATCAGCATTGGGCTTTACACCTCTATTGCTCATTCTATCAAACAACAATAACACATTCTCTATTGATCCTAGCTTACAATAACGATTTATCATCAAATTATACAAATAAGTATCAACTTTCAAACCTTTGTCATGCATCTCTCCAATCAACCTTCCAGCTTCATTGATTTTCCCATAGCTTGTATACCCATCAATCAAAAATTTAAAGGTCTCGACATTGAATTCCACTCCTGCTTTTTCCATCAAACCTAACACCAAATCCAACTCCTCAAAATCCCATCTCTTTGCACAAGCATCTATCATAATGTTATAAGTTATTATACTAGCTTTAATCCCTCTATCTGCCATCTCCCCCACTATCTCTCTACCTTTCTTCACATCCCCGTTTCTACACAACCCATCAACCACAGCTGTCAATGAATAAACAGAAATTTCGATACCTGTTTCCACCATTTGATAAAAGAACTGTAAAGCCAATCCCAATTCATCAGCTCCCTTAAGAGCAATCAAATGAACAGTACAAGTTCTCTCATCAATCTTAATCCCATTATTCTTCATATAATCAAAAGTCTTCAATACCTCACCAAATTTTCCATTATCAGAGTAAACTTTAAGCATTAAATTATAAAACTTTGTTATAACTTTGGACTCGAAACAGCAGTTCTCAACAGCCGAAGCTATAACAAGAAAAGGGTACCTGAGACTTTCATCAACCGAGACAGATTTTAACGTAGCTTCAGCATCCGAAAACAATCTGGCTTTAAGAAGCCTACAAGTAAGGGTCAAGTGAGCTTGAAGATCAGGCTTGAAGGAAACCAAAGATTGGTTTTTTATGACAAGGTTAAAGAAACGGAAGCATTTGGAGGCTTTGAGATCTGGGTTTGTGAGTATATACTGGAAAGTGGTGGGATTGAGATCGGAAATAGTAGAGGCATCGAGGGGCTTGGAAGTCGTTAGAATTTGGGAGATAAGGTCCGGTAAGGGTTGGTAAGGTTTTGAAGAAAGGCCTGATGGGTACGATTTTTTGACAGTTTTCAAGGTCTTGAGAAAGTTTTGGAGAGTCATTTGGAGTTATGGAGTTCGGAACAAGACCGCAAACTCTGAGCCTTCCTCCCTCAAAACAGAATCAAAATCAGTGCCCCCATAGTTGGATAGTAGAAATGTACAAGAGTAACACTGAAATTGAGTCGAGGTGTCGTCCTGGCTCGCCAGGCGTCCTTTGGTTTGGGGTGCAGCTGCTTAGATTATGGGCCTGCTTTGCCTTTGTTTGTCGCTGAATTGGAAAAAGAGGCCTTGTTTGCTGATTGTTCTGTTTTTGGGTTTGAGTTCAGCTCTGGCCCGAAAATGTTTTCATTAAACATTTTCGAATCTGAATTTGTAATTTTCTTTTCTGTGTATAAACCAATGAAAGAGGAGATAAGTAGGGACTAAGAAGATGGGGATGGATGAACACTCATTACTCTGTTCTCATTAAACATTTTTACATAGCTGCAATCATATAATTCTATAAACCCTTTAGTAGTCAGCCTACACTGTCACTTTTGCAAAACCAAATGTGTCAGATAAAAATATAAAAATAATCGATTTCTCCTTCAAATTTATTTCTATTGGTTGAATGATGAAAAACAAAGGGTAATTACACCTTTCTAATCTATTTTTATCAATAAATTCAACTCTTAAATCACCTAACTTTAATTTTTATAAGATCTGCTGAATCTAACTCTTCAAATATATATATTATGTGTGTGTGTATGTGTTATCTTTGAACCAAATGTGCAGATGCTGCTGCAAATTCATTTGGCAGGCTAATATCTGACTATCTTGGTAATCATTTGATGCAAAGAGATGATACCTCTAGATTTCCTGATTAATTTAACCTCTCCATTTTATTATCTGAATACAGAGACAGTCGTAAAGAAAAAGAAGATAGGCAGTGTCTCTCTTTTATCAATAAAAGAACATGCATTTTCTAGGCAAGGAAAAGGAGCCTAATACCCTATGCTAACCCCTGCGTCATCTGAAAGCATCACATGATATCAGGATTTTGCCAAATGAGTGGTGTTAAATGCAGAAAAAAGTGCCTCCATCAATGGCTGTGATTGTGACCACATTTCTCCCTGATTCTGAATCTTCAGCTTGGTCACACCTTTGCGCTTAAAACCCGAACTTCCATCATTCATTGTAAAAGCAACCACTTCAGCCCACCCCCCAGCTAGCGTAGACTGAGGTGCTGCAGAAATCACCATTAACTGCACCGCAATCTTCAATTCATTATGGCCAAACATGAAAGATCTCATGCCTGGCAAACCCCGCTGGTCCTTTCACTTGCATGCCTGCCACGTGAAAACCCACTGCTTCTATCAGATGGACCACGAACACGCAACATTGGGGGACCATTGTTGGCCTTTTGGGTCCACTCAGCCAATGCTCATTTAATTTAAAATGGAAAATGAAAATTGTGCGTACTACTATGTGAAAACATTGAAAAAGGGATTCTTAATCATGGTGGATCATGTTTTTCATTCTGACAGAAATTTGTCAAGATTATCAGGCGTGTTCTTGTTGTCTAATCTGATATTTTCATGTTCATATATCACACATGAATGATTTTGATTCAACAATTCCGACATACAAAGTCTTATAGCAGGTCTCTTCACTGTTGGGATAGCTTTTCTCATGCAAGGACTATATTTGATTGGATTCAGATCGATGTCAAAGGAAAAGAGGTACAGCTGCGTGGCTAGCTATGTTCCTCAGAAACCATCTACAAAAATCCCACTCTCAAACTAAGCCCCGCTTCATGAAAATGGATGTGCAGAGAAAGGAACAGCTTGATTTATATATCAGAAAACACACATTCATTAAACGAAGCTTTTGGGAGATATTTTAAGTCTTAATCTTTGATGATGGGAGAATGGTATTACAGGTTTACTTGTAAGACTTACTTCATCCATTTCCAAACCTTCAATTGTTAATCACATGGAAGGTGTAAGGCAGAATGATTAGAGATATATGCAGAAGCATTAAGTTAAAGTGCCTTATATTGAAAAGCTTAATGATTTGCTTCAGCTTCTTGGACTTGAACTGAAACCATGCATACAAGACAAAAAGGATATCTTAATCCATGAAAATATTTTTAGCCTATATGTGCATTTCCCATGTGTTCCTTTTGTTGGCTGATTTCATGTAGCAGCCTCTTTTCCAAGCCAATTAGATGGGTTGGAAATTTATCACCTTATCATTTGTTTCAAGCACCAGCATCTAAAAAGCCTGATTCATCTATTTCTCTCTAGTCATAGCATTCAAAATGTACCAGACAATTTAACTTTCATTGGCAGAAAATAGTGTGTAATCTACAGAAGAAAAAAAGAAAACATCAGCAAGAATTCATATAGTTTCCTTGTATTTTTTCCCCAAGATTAAGATCTCTTGTCATATTGATTACATATGAATCATCCAGCTTTTGATAAAGTTTTCAGAAACACAATAAAGTGAGTGCAACATGGAGTTTATGTGGTACCTGCTGATGTGTGTGGTGTGCAGATATCCAACGCAGGAGCTCCCACATACAACCATGCAAAAGAAAGAATCATAGCTGAGTTATTGTTTAATCCAGTTCCCAAGCTCTGAAAGCAATAAAAGCAACCAAAAAGATAATGAATACTTAATTAGTTTCTGCAACCAATAGTCAGGGTTCAATACGGATAAGCAAAATATCTAGTTTCTGCGAAGAACTGATCAAAGTCATCAAAATCGAGAGTTTCTCAAATTTCCATTACCATGTGACTATAGTCTTTTGTCCTTGACAGCCCCACATGACATGACTTGGGAATCTTGGCACAAGAATATTTTTGTACGAAGTAGGACCATAGAAATTATTATTGTGAAAACAATATTGATTGCGCTATATACCCTTGAGTCCATCCTATAATTAGATGTCTTTCTTTCCATGATTGTTGAAGCATTTGAATTAAATAGTACCCTGCAGTTGTGTTTTCATCTTGGTTTCAAGCCAAGAGAAGTTAATATCTAATACCGTACCTAGCTGGTGCTTGATGATAGACTACTCTGCTGGATTTTCGGATGAATATTAGCAAAGGAAACCGGCATAGCTGTACATAGTAAAATAAATAACCGATAAAAGAAAATTTCGATTGAATTCAATCGTAGATTATAGAATGTTGATTTATAAATAATACATAATTAACACGGCTAAAAGATCTTAATACAAAGCAAAATTATCATATAATTGTAGTTAAAACAAGGGTTGTAAATCAATGTTAGAGATTAGGGCCAAACCAGTAACAATTGAAGTATTATCAAACTTCTTCATCATCCCAAAAGGGTCCTATTGGGTTTACAATAGACCATGATTCTAGGTTAAGCAAATGTAAGTGTACACAAAAAGCACTCACATAAGTTATGCAAAGCCAAACAGAAAAAGAGATCCCCAAGATTACTACAAGGTGAGAAGAGAGAACTTGGAATAAAGTAACTACTAGGTGAGGTTCCTACATATGAAAACCAAATCATCTGAAGCTAATCCTTTAGTCTTGACCTTGAAAATCTGCGTTGGTATTGTATAGCTTGCAAATAATAGTATATTCTTTTGCGGATTCTTTCTCTAAATTTGGTGTGCTTCGTTTCGAAATACTTTGTATTTGGTAGTTAAATATGTTCTTGTTTCTCTAAGTATAGGCGTATCTCAAACATATTGGGATATTGCATACATATCGATTTTCTGATATTAATAAATTTTGGTTTTCTTGACTGATAAAGAAAGAAAAAAAAACAGTAAATTCATATATAAACGACCAAATGCGCGTATGCATTACTGCATAGGTGTACTAGCCTGAAGTCATTCATTGTACCATAGATGCATGCTTGTCTTTCTTCCTATTGGAGTACCAGAGAAAATTTAAAAATGGGGTACCACCAATCAATGATGATGGGACTTGAATTTCGTAATCCCAGTCATCTATTTTGTGCTTATTAATACTTATAATTAAAGGAGGAAATTATTACCAAATAGAAAAGCACATGGTAAGAGTTATCTATGTGCACTGCTTGTTTTTCATTGTGAAAAAGTACTGAGATTTTTATTATAATTGCAAAAGGAAAGTTACAAATCTGAAGTTAAGGTTAAGAATCTCTTGTACCTTAAACTCTCGCTTTTACTAGTTCATCCGTGAGTGAGTTTGTTTCTTTAAAGATATGATTATTCTTGTATGAATCTCGTTCTTCTTCTAAGAACAAAAATCTTGAAAACTTTTTCTCTATGACTATAGCATATTGTATTGTTTTTAGGAAGAATTATACGATATTCCTAGCTGATTGATTTTATTAGGTTGGGAATTTGATTGAGTTTGTAAAAGCATACCATCACAACTACCCAAGTATTACAGCAGCCAAATTCAAAAGATCCAGCCTTACCAGAAAGTCATATTTTGAAACTTAGCTTGCTAACTTCTGAACATGAAATATTGAAGAAGAAAGTTGTTGATATGGTAGTTCTATGTTAGCAGTGAGAATATGGAGTTTAAATAAGGGACTGACATGAAAATTGGAGAGGCAGATATGATCAGAGGCAGACTAGAAATGGATAATGTGAACGATGATTACACTCAGGGGCAGAGATCAAAAAGGGGGCTTAATTAACTAGTTAATGAAGAGATATGGAAACTAGTTGAAGATTGAAGAAGCAAAACAAATTAAAAGCTCAAGTTCCAATGCTGAATAGTTACAGAATCATGCACATAAAGCTTTCTAGACTCAGAGCCCAGAAAGATCTTTCTGCTGAAATGAAACAGAAAACTGACTCAAAGAGCTACAGTAAGAACTTGACCGAGAGATATATTCAACAGAAGGAAGGTCCATATGCATGTTACAAATATGGCTTAAACCTTAGTTTTTCACTTGGCAGAAAGACAAACTATTCAAAAGATTTTCCATGATATCTTTGTAATAGTTGATAAATTAGTGGGCCAATCAGTTTGGCTAACAAGAATTTAATGCAATGAACGGCTAAGCAGGAAGAAACTAGAGGCATATACCCTTAACGTATAGAGCACAGAATATGAGTACCAAAAGCTTGGAAAGTGATGGAGGCACACAGATATCCATAATCTTTTGTAGATTGAATTATCACTTTCATGGCTGAAGAAGCAAAATTTTACTGATATTATGAACAACTTTCTGCGGTGCTAGCTAGTATTATTGATGAGATGAGAAATAGGTGGGACTGCATAGTTTATAGAGAGAGAGAGAGAGAGAGAACATGCTTAAGGGTCCAAGTTGCAAGATGCGTCTCTGGTGGTTGGTCCACCAACAAGGGGTGATGGGTGATTAATGCAAAAGCTACCCAAAACACAAACAATGGCAATGCCAATGTGACATGTTCCCACCATGATCTCTCTTTTCCACATTGAAAGTACCTCAGAGCAGTTCCAATTTTCAACGATCTAGTAATTCTTATGGACAAAATCCACTTGGAAGAATGTCCACAAACTTTTTTTATTTTTATTTTTATTTTTTTTAAAATTACTTAATCAAATATGTTTTGAAATCTTTTCTTCTAGTGAAGACAAAGGTGGTGGGAAGAACCAAAAACACTTGCAGTAAGCTATTTAGCTGATATCATCAAATCCCATAAAACAAAACAAATCGAAATCACCTCGTTTCTCTCTCACCTTTTCTTTTAGAGTTTGCAGTCTCTCCTGGAAGCCAGCCCAACACCTAGTTGGCCTTCATCGAAGCTCATTAGAGAACCAGTACCATCCTGACAGGGAAGATTGCTCCTTTGCCAATCTGCAATCCAGCAAGCAAAAATCTTTAATGATATGATCAAAAATCAAAGATCTGCAAAGTACAAGAATGGATCTAATCTCTTTTAACAGCATCAAGCAAAGATAACACCACAGGAGAGGACATGGGTCGATAAAGATTTCACCTTTTTGAGATATCCTCTCAACAGCTTATGTCAAAGGCTCTATCTTCTTCTTCTTTTTTTTCGTTTAAGTTCCTGGGCAAAGTCCCTTCTCCATGAAAAAGTACCCATTTCCACTGCAGCAGTATATATCTGGCTCAGAGGAATAATCATAGATCTGCAAGTCAAAGTCCTTTTGAAACAGCCTAGTAGACACTATTTGTTATGGCTACCTTACCCTGCAAAGTGCAAAAAGGAGAACATAACATTAAAAAACTTAAAAAAAAAAACATTAAATCCATTTACAGATTCCCCTTTTTCATTAAAGAATAGCCCATGAAAGATTGAAGTTTAGTATATAAAAGAAGAAAAAACACTATATACCCACCTGACAACAACAGAGAAATGGGGGGAGAAACCTTTGCCAAGAGAAAATCTTTTTTTTTTTTTCGTTGATGTTACGATTTCGAAGTGTGCGAAGTGGCACACTATACTTTGAAACGGAGAGAAAGAAAGGGTCTTTTGTATAGTCGTTTATTGCCGATGCAGCATCATCAAGATTCTCACTTTCCAAACAAGTTTGGCATAAAGGAGAAGAGAAAAGAAAGGGGAAGGGGAGAAAAAAAGAAGAGAGTTTGTATTATCCATCGCCACCACCGTGCATTTGCATGTGAATCTTGATGATGCTACACCCGCAAACAACGACTGTCAATCTATCTATCCAATATCCATGCACAACATAGAGAGAGAGAGCCTTGCTAGAACTCAATATGGGATTTAGTATATAAAAGGAGAGGAGAGAAAGGAAAACATTTGAGTTTGACCCAAAGGACCAAAGATCATGGAAAAAACTTTTGGAAGAAAAACAAAACAAAAACAAATAAAAAAGAAAGACTTTATATCCTAAAGTTTTTCTTTTATTAATACTATATATATTTATATATTGATATTAAGAAAAAATTTTGGTACTCTTAGCATCAAAGGGTGTGTGCACGAGGACCAGCTGATGTGGCCTGTTACCAGTGGTTAAAACATAAAGTGATTATCTGAGAGCTACCCAAGAAGAATCTAACAAGTTGAACCTCCATCTCTATAAACAAACAAAAACACACCCACAAACCCTATTTTTTTTCTTTATAATATGAAGTAAATCAGGGGAGGGAAGCTAGTATATTTTTTTCCATTGGAGAAACAGCAGTTCCTATGGAAAGTAGCAGATGTACTGATCAAAAGCTAAGCAGCTGGTAGTATCTTTGCAAAACTACCCATGTCGACAAGGACATCTATTTGGCCTATGAAATTTTAGCCTAACCTGATATGATAGAGCTAGAATTAGCAGAACCAAGACCCCAGAATGCCTTTGTTAGAAAAAAACAAGCAAGAAAAGTGAGAGAAATGATCTTGAGAGGAAGAGCACACATAGCCAGTGATTAGATCTATAAACTGAAGAACGGAAGGAAAGAATCAAAGGGAGGGAAGAGAGGGTTTTGGTTTCACATGGATACCAAGTGGTAACAGTGGAAGGAGACTGACGGAGAGTTACTGATAGGTTAATTACATACATATATATATATATATATTAAAGATGACACAAAATTTAATTGGGGTTTTAATGAATTTTATTGGAGATTTTACCATCTGTGGGTTTTGATTGGTTGATGCTTAGCTGTATAGTACAGCACCCATATGTTGCCGCAGTTACACATCGCCATCTTCCCACAAAGCCCTAGTTAGTTTTTATTTTCTAGCTAAGTGCTGGTCCAATCAGACCACCATCTTCTTCTCCTCCTCTTACCATGCACTCTCCCATTTTAACTTGAAAAGTTTCAAAAACAAAGATTATAATAAAGAATACTAATCTTAGGTCACACCCTTTTTCTAATTTTTTTTGTTATTATTTGGTAAAGGGAGATTCAAATACATAATCTAAACTTCTTATGCGAATATAAGATATATACATTAATCATTGAATCAAATACTCATAGCTTTTGGTTTTATATTAAAAAATAAGTTTAATTTTAATGTCTTTATTATAATCATACTCTTTTGGAGATTTTATGTCCGAAGAATATTGTATCAAGTAATTAGAGTTTAATTTGATTCTTAGGAAACACACCCTATAGTTCATATTAAATGAAATTCTAGTGATTGCTTAGAGATTAATATGGCAAAAATAAAGCCAAAATTAGAATTAGATAGTCAAGTGATTGAATTTGGTACTACACATGACACACATGGGCTGCCATACTAAGTACATGAATTAATTTCTAGTTAAAACTTTATATCCACCACATGACAAGAGAGAGAGAGAGAGAGAAACAAACATGCTTTTCATGACTACCCTAATTTTTGTTCCAAATTATGATCTTAATTTTGACTGAAATTTGTGTTGATCTTGGGATTGAAAAATCATGCTCCTATGTCCTAAAAAATGTGGAATATTTGTCATTAAAAATGTGGGATCAAACATTTCAACACTTGGATGGAATACTTGGAAATTTGAGGCCAATTAAACGACTTGTAACCTTATGGTTTTACTTTTTCTAGAACAATGTTATTATAAAAATAATTATTTAAAATTTCAAAATTAAAATGACTTCCAACCCTTTTATATTGCAAAATTGTAAAATGAATAATTAATTCAGAGTGATTTTCTCGAGTTGAAAAAAATTCAAAATATCACTTAATAAATTTTTTAAGACACTCATTAGTTGTTGCTTAAAAATTGTTAAGTTACATGTAAAATTAAAAACTTTATCTATTTGCTTTATATCGATGTTGTTTAAATATACATACTTAAAAATATCATATTATCCTTTCATTACTTTTGCTAAAATTAAAATATACTTAAACATTGTATTTACTGAGTACTTTACTCGATTTTCTTTGTGTTATCGAATTTTCTTGCAAAAATTGAAACAAATATTTGCTTTCGTTCTCACAGTGTATATATATAGCATTGGTGAGAAGAGAAAATGGAACCAAATAAACCGTTGGCCACCAAATTTTCTGCAGAGTGATCTTATTCCCATGGGAAAAATATATAATAAATTAATAATAATTCTGAATTGATAGATTCCTTCCATCAAGCCTCCACCTGAACCAGGGCCCAGGTCCGTACAATCTGATGTGGCTGATGCAGATTTTTCTTTTCTGTTTGTTGGCCACTCGACCTGATCCTTTTTCTTTTCAATCATCGTCATTGAGAAAATTTAGATTGAAATTTGTCAGATGCTTTCTTTTTATTTATTTATTAAAAAAATCTAATTCACTTATGGAGTGTTCAATTTATCACATCACCATTGGACCATGCAAGATTTTTTTAATCATTAGCAGCTTATTACACTACTCAGATTTAGCTTTGGTAATATAGAAAAAACTCGAAGGAGAAGTAAACTTCCTTTACTGCATTGCAATTAAATCATCATTAATTTCTCTTTAATCTAAAAATTATGCACATATATATAGGGCAAAATTAAGAAACCTATGGGAATTAGTTTGTTAATGATGAGTAGTTTAAAGGGTCATTAGTCTTAACCTCTTGTGACTGTTTTTTTTTTATTTTAATTTTTTCCCTTATTTTCAATGAGATTATTATATTGTTCAAGATTTTAATTTGTTGATAAATTGTTTAAAAAAAATGTTGTATCGAGAGATATTTTTCTTTTATTTTATGTAACTTGATTTATATTTACTAATGTTGATTGAATTTTTGTGGATAAGAGATTCGCCGTGGTATATGTGGCTTAATAATTACAAACCCTTTCTCTTTTTTGGCTTTCAAGTATTCTGAACATGATCTCATCTGATACCCATGCAATCATTCCAAAGGAACACATGTAGAAATGCCAAAACCATCAATGGAGATTTAGGAGTTTAGTGACTGTGTCAAGGACAAAGACAGCTAGCACAAACTCTTACTCTTCTACAATGATTAAACTTTTTTTTTGTTGTATTTTTCAATCCCTTTATTAGGACAAATTCATATATGGAAACATGAGGATCAGGTGTTGCACACGTTGCATGTAACGACTAACATAATCATGATGATAGAATGTAACATCAAAATAACAAGAGGCCAATGCAATGCTTCCTTTCGACAATGTAAACATGTACACTTATGTAGGCGATTCCCATGCATTTGCATAGGCACTGAGAATGGAAAACGAAAGGAAAGGAAAAGGACGAGAGATTTTGCAAATTCAATTATGGGATTCCAACGATTTTTCCAACTGAGAATGCTTAGGGGCCACTTCCCCCACAAATATATAGAGGGTAAAGATGAGATCCGAGAGCTAATATGTAAGGAATTGAAGTGACAAATTTGGCTTGCAAATGTTTGATTTAGTGATTGGATGGATGGATGGATTGATGGTAGGCGGTTCGCCATGGGATGATGATTGGCCTTTAGGGAGTCAAAAATGTGCCACTTCCATGCGCATTCCATGCGCATTCCCACTCCACAGGCCTGAATATGGAGGCAACTAAAGCAAGAAATCAAGCAAGATGAAGGAGAGGCAGAGAAGAAAAAGATTACTTGGGGTGAGATAGTTCTTCATTATGGGTTGGTACGGAAACTCTTATCATTGAATCTAATTTAGAAATAGTTGATTTTCAGGTGTGCAGTAAAAGATTTAGATCGTAAAATAAATAGAATTTTTTTAATGGAAATGACAGTTTCGGGAGAAATTATTGATGATATTGTCTTTTCACTTGTCTTTAGAGAAGCTAATATCTTACTGATTCTCTTGTGAAATTTGGTATTAATAGATGGAGATATTTTTTAAAGAAGTGATTGAAATCTTTCTATTTTTAAAGTTACAAATAAGATGATGATTGGCCTTTAGATAGTAACAAACGTGCCACGCCTTTGCCATTTTAGCCACTTCCATAAGTATTCCCACACCTTGGCCTGAATTTAGAGGCAACTAAAACAAGGAATCAAACAGGATGAGGGAGAGGAAATAGTTTTTCATTTTGGGTTCGTGCAAAAAACTTTTATAATTGAATTTGATTCAGAAATAGTTGATTTTTTTGATGTACATGAAAAGATTTAAACCGTAGAATAAATGAGATATTTTTAATAAAATTGATAGTTTCAAAAATATTATTGATGAGATTGTTGTTTTAGTTATATTCAGAGAAGGCAATATCTAAATTTTGGTACGAGATATTTTTAAAGAATTGGTTGAAGTTTCAAGTGAGGTTCAACCAAGGGTTGAATATATTCTCAAGGAATTGAAACTTGAAACGAAAAGGTTTTTCCTGTACGTGTTGCATGCAGTACACTCGCAATCACGTACGTGAGCCTTACGTTTTTATGACATATAAAATAAAAGCTGTGGTTCCAAGGCTGACATAGAAATATATGTGAAGGAAGAAGATGGGTAGGGTTTTGGTGGGGGGGGAGGAAGTGTCACGTGGAAAGCACGGTGATTCCCATGGTGAATACTGAGGAAGGGCCATGGAAACCGTACGGAAGGGGCCACCACTCCACGTGACAATGGGGGCTGCTGGCTGGTGGAAGGTGACAGCGTGCCGACGACGACAACAGTCTCTGTCTTGGTCCCTTTCAAGTATTCCCTCCCCCTTTGGCCCTTCGCCTTTTCATACGCCATTGAGGTTGAACTTGGAACAAAATTGGACAATTTTTCTTTCTTTTTTTCTGCTTTTTAATTTAAAGAAAAGATGAGCCATTGTTGTCATTAAAGTTTCTTAATTTGCTGGTAGAAAAGGAGATGGGCAATCTATATATATATATGTGAATGTGAGGTAAGGCAAAGTGTAGCATTTAAAACCTTTGAAAAGGATTGTGCATAGATTTTTTGACTTTTCCAAACTCTAAGTTATACCAATTGTGGATGTCATTGCCTTGTCAAAGAGCATATGAGTGGTAATTGGTCCCATTCATCAACCTTTTGTACCCATCTTCATCACCAAGCCAAAGCCAATGAGAGACCCAAAGGTACTCCTATTTATGAGTATGTAGATGCTATCTACTCCTCTAGAAGGTGCAATACTTCAATTTTCCATTAAAATAACAAATAAAATCGACCAAACTGTGATAAAAAAATAAAAAAAAATCAATATTGATTTTTTTCAATTGTAATTATTTCAATTTAAATGAAAGTATTTTTTAGATATATTTTTCAAAATATTAATTATTGATTTTTTAATTGATTTAGTCGTAAAGTTTTTCTACCCAAAAAATTGATTGAAATAATCAAATAAATTAGATTTAAAGAATATATTACTTTGAAATCCATATAATGAATCGCCCATGCACTAAAAATTAAAAGGTGAACGGATTTGGGATTGGTCAATGAACAAGCATTTAATTGATCCCACATGCTATGCTTGATATATAGATATATATTCTTGTATGATCACCCTCTGCAGTCCCCTCCTTTTGGATTTTATGGTACAAATGAAGATTCAAATTATTTATGATATTGCTTGGAAACTACAAAGGACGGTTACTATTTAGTAGTAAATTATGCTAAGAATCAAAAGAATGAGTTTTATATTAGAAAGCAAACACAATATAGACACATTAGT